TAGATGAAGATAAACAGGTGACCTTCTAGTGGCAGTTATTATGGTTAGAATGATCCACATCGGGACAATGGAATAATGACTCAAAGGTAGGTAGAACACACTAGTGCTTTGCTCCTGTCTCAGTAGTAGGGTGCAAGTCTAGAGAAAGGAAGTATATCAAGTAAGAGACATCAAGGATCATCAGCATACTGTAGCTTGACTAGATGCTCAGGACTATCTCAATTCTCTCTCTCTTTTGAACATTCTGAGAACTAGATCTCAAGCTTTTTTATTTCTAGAAGTAATTTTTTGGCTTCTATAAAATGCTTAGCCCCAAGTATTTGCTACAGTGACATAAAATTGTCTAATAAAAGAATGGTTCGTATAGTATGGAATAGAGAATGTGATTCCTTGTGACTTTTTGCATCCTTTTCAGGTGAAGACTGAGATGATAGGAGCAGATAATATAAAAGTTTTATTGACGAGACACTCACAATAAAGCCTAATTTTGGATGGAAGATACATAAAACAGAAAATTAAAAAGTTGAACTTTGATAATCTTCATAATGTTCTTTTCATATTAAGGCAGTGAATTTAAAATAAATGAAAATCAAATACTTTTGGATTATAAAAAGTAAAAAAAACTTGGGATGCATAATTAATTCACTACTTACAACCAAAAAAGAAATATGTTTAATTTCCCATATTTTACTCTCAGAATGCCAATAAGCATGCATACATAGAGATATAAACACACCCACACCCAGAGAGAGACAGTGATATTTATTTCTGTCTGTGTCTATCCATCCTCAATCACCATTTCTTTCTATCTATGTATCTGTCTTTATGTATCATCTATCTATCTATCTATCTATCTATCTATCTATCTATCTATCTTCTATCTGTCTGTCTGTCTGTTTTTGATAGCCACGTCTTAGTTTTTGCTTCTGTTTTTTTTTCTTTTAGCATTATCTCAGACTATAAGGAATTACTTTATCAACCTTTATTTTATATGTGAACAACAACAAACAGAGAAACAAGATTAAGGCCTGGTGCTGGAGGTGTACTGTGGTATGTTTCTTGCATAATATATATAAGGCTTGGGTTTTGATTACCATTAAGGTAACAAAGGTTAATAGTGAAGTAAAAGTAGCTAAATTCTGAGATTCACTCCAATCCTTGTACCCAGTGTCCAATGCTACTTTTTGATAAGTCACTATCTGTGAGAAAGGACGCTGACTGATAGCGACTATGTGTTGTTTAACTTCAGGTATTTGTGAATACTTTTTTTTCCTAAGAAGACTAATTTCTTTCTTATTTATAGGAGAATGTATGTTAAACAGCCAGAAGATAACAAAGCATTCCAAATCCCTCATAAAATGATCAAAATATTGCTGCTCTGTGGACCAATTTATAAATCCACAGATACTTTACTGTATCTTTTTTTTTAAATCTCATATATCACATCCCCTCCTTTCCACTTCTCCCATTCCCTCGCTCTTCCTCCCCTCTCCCCCACGTCAACTCTTCCTGTGTTTCCCTTTAAAAAAAAGAAGTAAAGAAAGAAAAAAGAGTAGGCCTCCCAGAGTTATCCACCAAGTATGGACTAACAAAATACAAGACCTAGCACATACACTCAAATCATGGCAGGTTGTGACAACCCAGTAGAGGAAAGGGGTTCCAAGCAGAGGCAAAGGAGTCAGAGACACCCTCTACAATTTTGAGTAAAATGTGTAATCTAATGTCATGGCACTTGTATGGGTACTAAAACCCAAAAAGAACCTGCATGTTAACAAAAGAGTCATGAATGTGTTTTCCAACAGCTACTTGACCACTTTTATACATTATTTAATAGTTTGCATCCCAACAGATCACCCAAATCAATTTTTCTTCCAGTTCTTCCCATCTATTTTTTTTAAAGACTTAGATTTGCACTTTTTTTCTATGAATCTAAACTTGGGGAACTAAAGCTACTAGAAGAGAACTAAAAGCGTTTCTAATTATTTTTTTCTAGTCACCCATATGATTCCACTAAACTCTGTAACAAAAGATCAGTTGGAACCATCTAAGGAAGCGCTCCTTCTTTGTTTGCAGAGAACACTCTTTGAGAAGTTGTTTACTCCAGGGAGTGACTTCATCAACATGAATTTGATTACCATTTACTTCTTTGGCCTCCAGCTTTCATTTCCAGTTCCCCTAGAAACCATTTCACTTAATCATTTGCACAAAAAGCTTTACATCAGTGTATCTTTTGGTCAAATAATTACTAATAACAAATATTAAAACTACTTAGGGCCCATGCCTATGCTTATTCATACCTGGGTATATCACTAGTCCTTTCTCTTTTTCTCCCTCTGTCACTCTGCTCAATATGTCTAACTTTCTCCATAATCTTACCAATAACCAAACCTGAAGCAGACCTGTACATCTGCTTATTTCCTATTGCTCATATACATGCATAACTGCACACAAGTGCACACATGTGGGGGAATATTTGCATTCTAAATATATGGGAATATTTATGCTTCTCTGTGTGTGGGTTTACTAAACCATATTTAAGCTACTATGAATGAAAAAAAATGTAATTTTATGGAATTCTACTCTAAGCTGTCCCAGTTAGTATTTACAAAATTGTTTTCTTGAGAGGAAAAACCGTATTATAGATGCAGGTATGTGAAATGTAATTTTAGAATGTGAAGTCATAGCACAGAAAAATGTAATACTGTCACTTATTTTGAGATTTATTTGCAGGATTAGGTTATTTTTAACATTTGATGGTTTGCCTGCTTATTTGAATGTATGGAAAGAATAACATTTTACTTGTTCATGCTGCTTACCTATGTTCTTGTTCTGGTATTCTGCATCAGGCTTCAGGCTAAGACTATTTTCCTAAGTCTTATCTAATTGTTGATTTTTAAATACTGATTTGGCATTTTTAACTTTAAGTTTGCTTATAATTAATATTTTCAACCACGAGAAAGTTGGTATATTCATTTACATTTTGGTAAATGTGACTTTTAAATAAAAAAGAGATGTATTGACCCACCCAACTGAAAGCATAATAAGAGACAAAATCAGAACATAATTTAGAAGTCTTTGGTTCCCACTGCATATTTAATCTATTATCTCTGGCCCAATAGCATACTTTTTAAAACAAACACCTGTCCCCCCCCCCCAAAGAATTTCTTTTCCAACTTCAAAGTAAAACTTAGACCCATGGGTATCACGTTAATTACTACAATTCACAATCGGTGGTTTTCAGATTTTTAATTAAATAAACATGCTTTTTTTTCTGATTATGGCTTTGGTTTATTTGGGAAAATTTTAGGTTATATCCAACCCCAAATCTGTAAAGGTAAATGACCACAAAAGCCACCACTGATTTTTATATGTGTAGAATATAACACAGAATACTTTCCTGAAACAAATGTTTTGTATTTGAATTTTTTTGTATATATTTGTGCATGCTACTTTCTGGATAAGCAGGCACTGTGAGTACATGAAGATATGTTTCAACTAGTGGGACACACAGACAGACAGACAGACATATTTTCTTTGACTACATGCTTCAGGCTGTAACATTTTCAAAGCTAGCCTATAGATATAAAGTGTCTTCTCTTGATTCAAAGTACACTTGCTCATCAATAGAATGGGTTCCATTTCCACTTCTACCTTATATTTCTTTAGGAAAGACTTTAATGTGTCTATGATTTGCCCATTCAGACATAGAAAATGACAGCCCACTATATTGTGCTTTGGGATTCCAGTGGATAACACTAATGGGTCAGCAAGTACAGGGAAATCCTTTATCTTCCAAAGACTAGTTCTCCAACTCTTGTATTGAACTTTCTTTAACCAAGGAATAATAAACATTTATCATGGAAGATGAGACAGAAAAGTTAGCATTTAAAGCCCAGAGGAACTCTGACAGAAGTCATTGTCTCTTATTTGGATCCAATGGAAAAATCCATTTTCTACCTTTCTTGTACCACCTATATCTATTGTTTCCCTTCTGATATGAATTAAGATGCAACCATTGGGGTAGTCTTTTAGTTTTACACATCCTGTACCTCCTATACAAAGACACATAGTAATAAATACGTATGCCATTTCCCCTGTGAATCTATGGTCAGTTATTCAGTTATTTCATCAGATTAAAATGCAAACCTTGAGTAGGAAAGTTTAAAAATCTCTTTGTTTCTGATAAATTCTAGAAGTCTAAGTCATATTATTCCTATATTTAACCCAAGAAAATATATGCAAATTTTATCTCAACTAAAATAATAATTCTGTCTTCATAAATATTTTCAAAGTGTTATTACTAATGCAAGGAATATCAGAAATGATCTTGCAATGGTTATGCCAAAATGTCATAATGGTAAATAATTGGGGTAAGGAATAGCACAAAGCAGAATTATAAATTTAATAAAGTAAAGGATGTTTATGATTTGGGAAATTATAATAATTAATAAAATTCAGAACAACAATAAAATTTAGATTGTTTTTAAAGTAAAGTTGGTCTTACTAGCTTTTTATAAAATAAATGGGCAGACCTGAATATAAAGACATTTAATTCATTTATCCTTTAAATTATCCCTTCCAATTATGGTAGACTGTGATATTAAACTTATTGTTGAAATGCTCACGCTGCCCATTCACTTATGTCATAGGAATTTGGTCTTCCTGTTCCTTCTTGGCATTTTAGACAATGTTAGAACAATAAAACTCTAAGTTAGAGACGTTATCAATTATCGCTATATTATAAACCTCCCTAGAGTAGGTCCTGAAAAACATGAGCATCTGGTACTCTCTACTTTAATGTGGCATAAAACGAGATAAACTAATGAAGAAATTATGAGCACGATGGGATGTTAGAGAGGAGTCAAAGATACAGTGATTATGGAATTAGGCCAAAGAAAAACAGATTTTTAATCTAAACTACTGTAACAATATATATTGTAAATGCCTATGCATATATGTATGCAAATTCAGAATTTTAGAAAGTGCTAAATGAGACCTACTTTCTCGTAGTACTTGATCTCGTAGTCCAGAATAGCTCCATTGGTAAAAGCAGGTGCTTGCCACGATAGAGCAAGGCTGTTTTGGGATGCCCAGTCCTTCCTCATCATACCTATTAGAGAAGGTGCTGTAAGGAAAGGAAAACAAAATTGATTAGTAGGCATAATTTTCAGTCATTGAATTTATGTTGTGTCTCTTCCAAGAAAAATACATTATTTTGTGTAGAGGATACCAATTGGCAATGCCAAATTAATACAAAATAGCTCAAAGTATATTCCATTCAAGTCAGATAAGGGATTGAAATATAGGAAACATTCAAATATTCTAAGATGAAAACCAGGGCTCATTCACCTCTAGCTCTATCAAGGAGGAAGTTTTTCCTCGAACTAGGTTTGGTTTTTGGGTTTTAACAGCAAAGCTAGTAGTGTGCTTGTCCCCTGCATTTCATATAATCTGTTTTCAAGTGCAGGAAACAAACTGTGATTACAGGAGCTTGTGGAAGTTTCTCTTTTTGAGAGATCTGAGTAAAAGAAATCCAGCACCAAAATACTGAGTGTTAATTTTATGACATAATTTCCCAGAAAAGCTATTTAAAGAGACTTTAAAGGGCAACAGTTCCTCAGGACAGGCTCCAAAGCTACTGAGAAACCCTGTCTTGAAAAAAAAAAAGTCACAAGGAAAGACCCATAGACCCATAGATGTTATTTTTACCAATGACTATGTTGACCAGAATATGGTGTTCTATTCAGATTTTATGTATGTTGAAGTACACTGAAACTTAATAATTATCTTTCTAATACTGAGAAGTGGGAATCACAATGTCTATGGGAAGATTAATGGAGGTAATTAAGAATTCAAGAACATTGTTCTCAACTATGTTCACAGCATTTTTTTGTCATAGCCAGAACATGGAAACAACCTAAATACCCCTCAACTGAAAAATGGATAAGGAAAATGTGGTACATTTACATAATGGAATACAATATGGCAGAAAAAATGACATCTTAAAATTTACAGACAAATGGATGGTTCTAGAAAAAATCATATTGAGTGAGGTAATCCAGACCCAGAAAGTCAAATATTATATGTACTCACTCATAAGGGGCTTTTAGACATAAAGTAAAGAAAACCAGCCTACAAATCATAATCCCAGAGAACCTAGGCATAATGAGGACCCTAAGAGTAACATACATGGTTCTAATCTACATTGGAAGTAGAAAAAGACAAGATCTCCTGAGTAAATTGGGAGCATGGGGACCATAAGAGGGTAGAGAGAGGAGAAGAAGGGAGGGGAGCAGAGAAAAATGTATAGCTCAATTAAAACCAATAAAAAATTCAAATGAAAGGATCCTTAGGAAGTTGCAGCATTCTCCTGCTTCATTTTCAGAAATTTATTTCATGTGTTAATAGGTGATGCAAGATTTTAAAGCTGACTCATTGTGATATTTTAAACTTCATAGAAAAACTTGTTTTAATATTTTACTTCTAAAGGTTGTCTTTCCATCATAAGAAAACATCTTTTTTTTTTAAATTTATAAGACTGACAGATTTGTCCCAGAGGAATAAAAACTTGAAAATATGTTTAAAATTCTTGTTTTTAGAAGAAAAATAAGATTGGACTAAAATATGCTGGCAAAATGACTTGTATTTATAAAAATAATTAATTTTTATATTATAAATAAAGATAGCAACAGATCATGTAGAAAATAAGAAAAGGCACTCAGAAATTATTCATTATTTAAATTGAATCATATCCACTATTAAATTTATCCCCAAGGGAAGCTGTGCTATTGTTTTACATTATGGTTTATATGTATTATGGTCATTTATGCAAAAATTATAAATTCAAAGCAAATCCTAAAAACTAGAAAATGATCAACATAGTATAATTATGAACATACTTTTCATATATGCATGACTTAATCTATGGTTAATATTCAGCTTAATATAGTGTTGTGATGCAGTTAATATTGCACTGTATTGCATTTTGCTCTTAACGCCAACCATATAATGGTTGTAAAACATAAACTCTCAGTTGCTTTAACAACATAACAGAAAGATCAACTGAGTAGAATACACATACCATTTTTCTATTCTAATTTGTCACTCATAAATTGATGGTGCATTACCTTAATTTTTAAAGTCTCATGTTGAACTCATATAAAGCAAACATTGCAAAATTCCTTAATTGCATATATTTATCACTTTAAAGGCCACTTTATGGGCTGGCGGATGACTCAGCTGATAAAGCACTTGCCTTGCAAGCACAAAGAGATCAATTTGCTTCCCAGAACCATATTGTTTTAAGAAAGAGTCATGTAAAATGGTGTAAGTTTTAACCAACTGCTGGGAATGTAGAGACATGGGAACCATGAAGTTTACTAGCCTGTCAGCCTAGTTGGGGAGCTTTGGACCTATAGCAGATGCTGTCTCAGAGGAGGTGGAGAGCTATTCTGATCATGGCACCAAAGGTTGTTTTCTGGCCTCTGCATTTGTCCGTAATAATTATTAAATACTTGATTATGTTGGTGTTTATCAATATTTTTTTCAATGTTGGAATGCAAATTTCTAATACTGTGCTCTCAGAATACTAACATTTATGAAAATCTTTTTGACGTCGTAAACTTCCTATTTTGTTGGAGTCTCTTGTATTTTCCTCACTAACTTTGGATGTGTGTCTTCAAGTGGTCTTACCACAACCACCTGAGAGCAGCTGGAACTATAGGTTCAACCCCAAGGTCCTGTTGGTTATTTTTTTCATTGAGAAAAAAAATGCTTCACATAACTGGAACTTTCTGAACTGTTTGGCACATTAGCATACTGCTTCTGAAAAGAATTTCATCCATATACTTTAGGTGCCCATTATAAACAGTTAATGAATTAAGCAGAGGAGGTGAGAAGTTACTTACAGTTTACTATACCCTTATTTCTGCATTTACTATTTTCACAAAAGTCAGCATTGTACCAAGTTTTATCACAAAGCAAAGCAACAATACATAAAGCTTTAAGCATTTGTTTTTCATATAATTAATGAACTTATTATTTAGCCAGTTTATCTAACATCTGCAACTAGCAGATAACAACGATAAGAGTTTTATTTGTACTAGTGGATACAGAGCAAAAATAGATGTACCATACATATTTCTACACATCAAGAAAAATGATTTTAAGACACAGAAGGACAACTTATGATATTAAAAAATCAGATCTTGGAATGAACAGGCACATTACAAACTGTCAGTGTGACTGGAAGACTCAAGTGGTTCTTTCTGAGTGAGAATTATGTATTCAAGACAGTCTTCTGGAGAAGTGTATTTCTGGTATCACTCCTTGCTTAAAACTTCAAACTGATGATTTGACCCTCAAAAAAATGATTACTGAACGGATTACCGCTGTCGCTCCAGTTATTGGTGTGAATTTGGAAAAGTGGAGCCGAAAAATGAGACAGACTACAGTCTCCTGCAGTAGCCAACTTTATTCGGAGCACCAAACCATTTATACTGTGAGGGTTAAAGAGAATGTCATGAGTAAGGTGTTCAATCCCAAGCCGCACATGGCAAGAACAGGCTTTCCATAGAGGCATATGAATAACAACAGCAGAAGTAAACTCACTCCTACACACTCGACCCAGGAGGAGCCTGGAAATGCATCTGAAGAACAATTCTGTGTTTTTTAAGAAACGGAAGTCACAAGATTCTTGTTTTGTTTTCTTGGAGTTTTCTCACAAGTATTCAAAATTCCCCTCGCATGACTCCATTCTGGAACTAGGTTCTGATACATTACCATGTTTTTGAAAGTGGTCTTAATACAAAGTTTTCTGATTACTCCATTTATTGAATATCAAATAGGTTATCTAGTGCTACAGAACAATTTTGAAGAAAATTTTATAGTAGAATTGGCTAACAAAGGAGCCTCTTCATAAAAACATGAACACTATTTGCTTAAGTTTAAGTTTATGCAGACAATGAATTACTATTTCAGTTCACATATTGACTTTTAACTAAGAGTTAAACACTTTTTGCTAAAAAAGTGACCATGTCAATTGTCTTATCCAGATCTCATTCCTTTATGAAATGCAGAATGCTTCCATCTTTAAAATAAGCAACTGAAGCTCAGAGGATTTTTGCAATTGTGTAAAGAAATTGGAGGTAAATATTAGTATTGAATAGGTTGTCAAGTAAGAATTTTAAAATTAATGTTGTTGCTCTGAGTTCCTATTAACATTAACTCTAATTTAGTGTAATATGTTCAAAAGAAAAATCCATGTTTAAAATCATACTACGGATAATTACAAACATGCATTACTGAGAATTTTCTCCAGATTTATAACGTGTCTCATGTGATTGTATACATATATATTATGTGTGTTAACTCTAAAATACAGTTTTAATATGAAAGTATGATGGTATTTTTAAAATTATATTGAATATTGTTAATTCCTGTTTATCTATTTATCATACTGCTGATATTAATATTTATTCATTTGAATGTGTGCACATGTGCTTGCTTGTATATATATTGTGTGTGTATGTGTATATATGCAAGTGTGATTGTAAGTGTACATATGTATTTTGTTTGTGTGTTTGAAATATGAATGAGTATACATACATACATATATATATGTAATATATGTAAACATTTAGGTAGGAAAGTTGGAGGAGAATCAATACACTCCTATACATGTTTGTGACTATATGAATTCTAAATAATATTTGAATAGATCTTATATGCTATTTAAAACTTTTCATTAATGTAGAAACTGCTTGCTAAGCTAGTTCGATTAAACAAGTAGATAAGTGTCAATCTCTCCATTTCTTTTAGGAAATATCTAATTGTAAGACATTTTCATATGGAGTTGGTGTTTTCTTGAGACTTCCACTCTGGTTCCAGCTTGCACCTCACAATTATTCATCACGTGTTCTAGCCTGATAGCCTGTCCTCTTTCATTTTCCCTCTCTTATTTCTATTCCTCACTCTGCCTCTTTTCTTCATTTATTTATGGGTATTTTTTGATTTTTCTTTACATTGTCTACTCTTCATTTTCATACTTTCAGGAAAGACTTAAAGAAGTTATAAGAAAAATTAAAATAAAAGTAGTCAACAACACAATGAAATAAACAGCAGAGA